GATCGGTGCCGGGAGAGGCATCAGCGTTCCATGACAGCGTTCCATGAGGCGTACAGCTAGTTCGGATTAGAAGCCCAATCCGAACTAGCTACTCCGTGCCGCGTGTAGCCGCGCGGCACGGGGTTCGAACTAGCCGGGATTTAAAAATGGCGGCGCCCGGGGGGCTTCATTTGCAACTGCAGATGACTACATTACCCCCGCTAGTTCGAACTAGCGGGGTAGTGTAGACATACCCTTAGATACCAGGGACTGGCTTGCTGCCTTCCTCAACTGTGTCAGGGAGATCTCAGGGACCAGAGCCAGTTCATGAACCAGTTGAGAAATGCTGATTTACCACATACAACTCTAGATAAAATGAAACTCTTATTGATACAAGAGCTTATAAGATTTTTGAGAAAAGGGATGTAGTCTAGACACACCCTAAGAAGGAAATAGCAACTAGAATAGCGAAAGCAAGAGTGAGTTTGAAGGCGATGGATAAGATCTGGAAAAGTAAAGCGATTAGCTTAGGAATGAAGCTGAGCATCTTGAAAATGTGTGTATTTATGAGTATGTTGCATAGATGTGAGACATGGGTGAGAACGAAAGATTCGAAGAGGAGGATATTGGCATTTGAGAGGAGTTGTTATAGAAAGACCCTGAGAATAGGATGGATGCAGAAGGTCACCAACGAGGAATTAAATAGGAAGATACAGCTGAAAGAGAACCTACTGCAGGTGGTTATACAACAGAAGTTACAGCTATTCGGGCATATCTGCAGAATGAACGACAAGCAAAAAGTTAAGACCCTGGTATCGGCATAATGGATGGTCCGAATAGGAGAGGCAGACCCCACAGAGAATGGGTAGATGATATAGTTGATTGGTGCGGAGCTAGTCTACAGAAACTAAGCCACTCTGCACTGGACAGGGAAAGATGGAAGGAAATAGCGAGGGAGGCATCGGACACCAATGGGCGTTGAGCCCGTGGTTGTTGATGATGATGATGACCAGTTTAAACCTAGAACTTCCATAAATGAATGGGAACATAGGTCCCATACAGCATCACTGAAAGATAATTGAACTAAAACCTTCAAACACCAACCCTAAATCTAGAAAGTATTTTTACAGTCCTAATTCATCATTTTTGGAAGATTAGTTGTCAAATGAACAATGTCAAAAATGTATATTTTAAACATGCTTCATAAAGGTTGAGGCTTTGTAGAATTTAACTTCTTTTCAGGAAATATTCTAGGCTAAAACAGGTTGTCTCTAACCTCAAATTGATATACACAATGGCTGAGAAATGTTGGGACATTAACCAATGTTATCAGATACTTTAATATACTGAACAGCCTATCAGTCTGTACATGTACAACCAATGGATAAACTGGAAGACATTTAACATTAATTAAATACTTACACTTCTCCCATGGGGGCATATGTTGAACCTGTTGCAGTAAATTCATGCAGGGAACAGCTATCTCCTTCTACTCTATCCAGTATAAACATCTGTAAGAAAAAAAGTGTTTTAAAATATTAGTATAAACAAACACTAAAGCTTAATGCATTAAAATCAGTTTGAATCTGTAACACACAGTACAAAATTTAAGGCAGCACAATCACTTGGCTTTTCTGTTAAAAAAAATAGGCAGAAAGGATAGATATCTATTCTAAAATTCATCCTGAACTACATAATTTTTTGTGCTCTAAATATTTAGCCACATGTGCATGCAACACTACTTTGTTATGCAAGTCAGGATTGTTAGTCTATCAGCTGTAGAAACAGTGGAGAAAGTTGATCCCAGGTCTAAAAGTGATTCTAAATAAGCGAGTCATGTTTCAGTAATGCCTTGCTTTCACTTTTCCTACTCTACACTGCATTTTAGTTACGCCTCTAAACCCCATTTGTAGAAAAGATTCAAGTCTTAATAAGATAGTCAATAACTGCTCTTCATGAGGGCTAAAAATTATACAAAATACTTAAGAATTCAGAAAGCAGACAGGTAGGTGAATTGACAAGTGACTTCAGAGAATATAAATACTTCCATTGCATTCTGGTCAAAGTCACACATAGGGATGTTGGATATCAGGTAACTGAATAGTCGAATAACCACATGAATTCTTATTGGTTACTCGACTATTCTATAGTCCCCAGGAGCAGGGACAGCAGGCAGTGCACTCCAGCCCTACTCCTGGGGAGCCCCCAGCCACCCTGTGCTGCTGCCTCTGACAGAGGCAGCAGTGTAGGGTAGCAGCAGCCCCTGTCCGCGGGGGGGGCCCTCCAAGCTTCCCACGAAAGAGTCTCCTCCACCTGATGCTTGGGGCAAAAAACTGGCAAGAAAATGTCCTGTGACACATGGAAGTTAGACACCACCTTCGGCAGGAAGGCGGGGTGGGGGCGTGATCTGACTTTATCCTTAAAGAAAACCATATATGAGGGTGGTCCGAAGAAAAGGCCCTTAGCTTGGACACACACATGGCTGATGTGATGGGCACCAGCAGGGATACCTTGTAGGACAGGTGTAGCAACGAACACGTTGCCAGGGGTTCAAATGGGGGTCCCATGAGTCTAGACAGGACCAGGTTGAGGCCTCCTGTGCCTACCTGAGTCCCCTCTATTATATTAAAGCTTCAAACTTTGGAGGTGCAATGGTCAGTACAATGATGCCCAGTATGAAGTAGGGACGTGAACAACTAGTTGACTAGTCGCTTCCCCCCCACCTATCAGAAAGAGGCAGCAAGGGGCGGGGGAAGAGGAGGGGGTGCTCCAAAGTGGGCGCTTTCGCCTTTGAAGTGTAACAACGACCCTGGAGCTGTGGCTACACTCCAAAGGTGGAGGTGCCCTTATCAACCAATCGACTAGTCCGTGCAAATTGCATTGACTATTCGATTAGCCAATTTATCTAAATGTAACATCCCTAGTATGAAGTAAATCAAAGAAAAACAGTGTACAACAAAGACTATCTAATTAAA